CCCCCCCCCCCCCCCCCCCGCTGGTTGGCCCTGTCGGCATGTCACCGATCGATGTACCAAGCGGCTCCTCGACAAAGCGTCAGCCATGGAAACCGATCAATAGGCCCTAATGTGGTGCAGCGACGGCACACTGGAGACAATAATCCTGACATCTCCCCCTCCATGACACCCCTCTGCCCCCCCCTCACACACACACATGTCTCCACCTTCACCTCCCACTACATGACACCCCATTGGTCGACAGTCAGACCTGACAGACGGGTCGGCAGGAGTCCCCGCGGATCGATAAGACCCCGTCGAGGGCCTGTTAGGGGCCCCGCGTCCGTTGGATTGTCAGAGCGAGGAGCGGCTGAATTAATGCAGATTGGACCGCAGAGCGACGCCGCAGCCGCCATCACAACTTTTACACAGCGAGTTACATCACACAGAGAGGCTGAACGGCTCAGTGTGACTTCAACTGTCACATCGAGAAACACATTTGTGAGCAGCAAACAAAAAGTTGGAGAAACAAATCTGAGACTCACTGAAGGCTGAACGGCATCAGAGTCTGCACACACTCAGCCAAACATGGAGGACACGTGTTTAAACTGGATATTTGTGGGGACACCCATTCAAACTCTGCTGGAACCTGAAACCTCAACCAAAGTCTAAACCCTCAAATGGCCCTCGAAAAAAGTGCAGACAAGACAAATGTCCACACATTCAAAGTGTCCCCTCCTTCTAAAATTAATTTCCTTTTTGAGAAAGTGAGGACATTTTGGATAATTGAGAATTTTGTTTCTCTCGGAATTTTGTTGATTTTCAAAACAGTCCTAATTTTCTGAAAATAAATATTTTATATCTAAAATATCATTTTCCAACATTCCACTTTTGTGCTCACTTTCTAAACCATCCCCTTTTTAAAATCTCCTTACTTTCCAAAAACGTCTTAACTTTTCACAAGTCCTCACTTTTCGAAGAATATCCTCGATTTTTGTATCACTTTCTAAAATTTTCTAAATTTTCAAAAATGTCCCTCGTTTTACAGAAACTGCCCTTTTCCTGAAATAGAAACTTTACAAAATTGACTTTCCTTTCCAAAAGCTATTCTGAATTTTCAAAAATTTTCTGACTTAAATAAAAGATCTAGTAAATGTTCCAAATCAATCCCAGTTTCCAAAAGATTTCTCACTTTCCAGAAACGTTTTCACCAAAAAAAAAAGTTCCAAAAATGTCTTTCAGAAATTGTCCTCACTTTCTGAAATATATCCTCAATTTTTGTATCACTTTTTCTCAGTTCCTGAAAAAATTCTCCTCACTGTCCAAAAAATGTTCTCACTTAAAAGGAAACCCCTCTATCCTTACTCTCCAAAACAACTTTCTCAAAAGATGTCCTCACTTTTTGAAAATGTCCTCACAGTCCAGGTCTAAACCTGAAGCCGGTCCTCACAGAGATAGACATATACAGGGCACATTCTCACAGCAGAGACGTGGACGTTAACCCACAAACAAGCATGAAAGTGGACGTGCAATCACACACACTCCTGGGAGTCTTGCATCAGGAATGATGATGTATAAATATCGACCACCAAATCTACACACAGTATGGGGTTTGTGTGTGTGTGTGTGTGTGTGTGTGTGTGTCTGATGCAATCCACATCCCTCCTGGTCAAACTGGAGCATTTTAATCCAGAGGAACAGAGCCAGGATCAGGATCAATAATGCAGAAGTGGTCGTTATCCTAAAAGTATTGTACCCCAGGGGTGTGTGTGTGTTCGTGTGTGTGTGTGTGTGTGTGTGTGTGTGTGCGCAGGGCGGAGGTCTGTTTTGACTATAAAGGTGGATGAGGTAGTGGTAGGTCATCGTAGGAAAAGAGGGGAAGAAGGGGGGAGGACGCATACACACATACACACTTTCTCTCTTACTGGAGTTCATTTACAACCACCAGGGTATTACACACACACATACACACACACCCACACACACACACACACACACACAGAGCGGTCATCCGTCATCCGGACGCTGACATGACAGCTCGGTGGGGGTGAGGAGGGGTGGGTAGGAGGGGGGGCTTCATCCTGGGGCGCCGCCCGCCATCTGGCAGGGAATTCTGGGAAGGCCGGAGAAGGCTGAGACCACCAAAAGGGGAGGTGGTGGTGGTGCTGGGTGGAGGTGGTGGTTGGAGGCCATGTTTGACTTTGTTGTTGGTGCTTGGGTCCAATCACAGTGGCGAGGAGAGAGGAGGGGTGGACAAAATAAAAGCAACACTCGCACATATCAACACATCAGCTGTCTCATTAATTCACATAAACCTGACCTGCATAAAACAACACAACTGGTTCAACTGGTCCCAGTTTCAGTAAACTGGTTTATCTAAAAACTGAATTATGGATTAACTGGTCTAAATGTGCACTAAATGGATTTACATGGGCACTTAACTGGATCATAAGCTGGTTAAATGTCCAATAAACTGGTTTATCTGTAAATTAGTTTATCTGAAAAGTTACACCCAAAAACCAACACATTGTCACTCTGACCTCGCCACGTATTGGTTGTTGATGTTCTGGGATGCCGTGTCAACTTCAGCCTGTTACATGCATTGCCTGTTTTCAAAATACACTTCTGTTTTCACAGGAAATGTACAGTTTGCATTCAGTCTCTTTCAAAATAAAAGCACTACATCAGTACAACACCGCAAATTGACCAACAAATGGATGTTTTGCCAACACGCATGTAGCTGGGTTTAGGAAAACAGAACAGGATTTGGCTTTACAGTCTTACACAAAGCGAACACTGGCCTCCCGTGTGAAAGTTGGTGGTTGTTGGACCCATCAACCACCCCTCCTGCCCATCCTACTCGAACCTCCGCTGCCTTAACTTTCGTTGTTGTTCAAACAGTAGTGGCGGCTGGCTGTGTATCACCGATGTGAAAGGTATTTTTTTTGTCGGTATCTGACGCTGGAAGTGACTGACCAAGCACTGGATTTTGATGACTCTGGACCGGGTTCACATGTTTCAGGCAGGAAGAAATTCTTTGTAACATAGGTCACAGGAGACACAGGACTCTGTTTACTAATCAGTTGCCAGTATTCTCTGGCCCACAAAAAAGCTAAACTGTCCCCAACTTACTTTGCCGCAGAATCAAACGGCTGCAGCTCAGAGCGCCCGTAGCAGCTCTTAGCTCACAGCAGGCTGCACTTTGCCGCTGCTTGGTGTGTTTTTGGTATAAACTGGTTTAAATGCTTCTTGCCTCTCTTCAGCTCCCCAGAGCCAACAGTGTGGAACACTAGCTACCGTTAGCTTAGAAATCAAGTCCGCTAACGTCATCTTATATAAGCACACACCACACTACAGAGTCCACACATGCTGTGTTTCTGTTACATACATTTTGCAGCAGTGGCCTGGAGACGACCTCCACTTAGGGCTGCAGCAACTTGAATTCAGCTTCACACGACTGAGTGCCTTGGCTAGTTAAAAACAGCGCAGACTTATTGTGTTTCGAACACTTGCAGTAAATTTCCTTCACTGCCTTAATATATGCACACACAAGCGTGATTGCTGGCCTCCTCTCTTGGGGAGGGTCATACAAGTCAAAATAAGTTTGACTGATGCTTTTTGGACCAATCACTGGAGAGAAATCATGAAATTACATGACAAGGTGTCCGGAGCTGCAGTGAACACAGTATTCTGGACGTGTGCTGTTTTTAACTCACTGTATGCTGGACAACAGACATTTCTAATGCTCTTAAAGCATTAGTTTTTGTTATCAAATGTTTTGTCTGATGCCCAGGTGCTCACTCACACCTACGGACTATGAGCACGAGCAACGGGATGTTCACTTAATGGCTGACAGTGTCTCTAATAACAAGGATTTTCTAAAAGTTACATGCAGAAACTTTAACAAGTTAAAGCCGATCATAATCGTGTTAATATTTGACACTTTTGTAAAAAACAAACATTAAAAACAGACGAACCCTACAGTGTGCCTTAGATTGTTTTTGAAGGAGACTAGCATGTTATATTTTTTGATTCACTCCTGCAATGAGCCCTTCACGAGATGGAATAAACACAGTACACCTGACGTATCCAAAGAGCACCTGTATGTGACCACTGAGACCCAGCAGCACTTCTGCTCCTCCGTCTTCACATTACAAACAGACTATTAGTCTCTGTTATTTACTGTGAGTCAGAGTTTCACCCTCCTGTCTGTGTTTCTGTCCCATCAGCCGATCCTGTACGAAGGTCAGGACAAGAACCCAGAGATGTGCCGCGTCCTCCTCACCCACGAGATCATGTGCAGGTAAGACACAGTCATTAATGAACCCTGATAACGACCTCACTGGGACCCTCCTCAGTTGCTCTCTGTGCAGAACAGTTGCAGCTGTCGGACCTTTTTGTGGGAATCAGACCTGCAACTTTTAAATTCTTATTCTCAGGTGATGTGAAGCATCATTTAAACACAGCACTGTGTAATTATCCACCCTCAGTGTGATGTGTATGTGTGAGGTTTTTGTTGATGCATGTACAGTATGTGTGTGTGTGTGGAGTGTTAATTATGCCGCAGAGGAAGTGTCTCTGTGTGGTTATTAACAGCGTAGTTGTCACGTGTTTGACTGTCAGAGATGGAGGATAAAAAACAAACATGTTTTGGTGTTTCATGGTAGAATCAGTAACTGAACCTTTTGTACACGTTCAGAATATCAGAAATACTAATTCAGATATTTAAGTACAGTACAGTGTTGTACGCCTTTTTATTTGATTTTATCCAGCACATTGGTTTTATTTTATTCTCTCGTGCTATTAATTAGAATGTGTGTGACTGGAAAGACACCCAACAATATTTTTCAGTTTTTCAGGTTTAAAATATTTACATTTCTGCCCAACATAAAAATTTTACAATTATTTTACTCTCTATTAGGGATAGACCAATATGGATTTTTTAGGGCCAATGCCGATACCGATTTTTTTCCATCACCCTTAGCCGATGACCGATTATGGACTGCCGATTTTCTTGAGCCGATATTTGGGGCCGATACTGCTTTTGCTCCCTCAATTTACATCAAAAAAATGAAACAATAATAACAAATATTACAGGTCTCAAGTTTAAAATAAGAAACATTTATTGAACAGTAAAAAATACTAAAACAAGATGGAAAGTTGAGGTAGAACAGGTAGAATATTATTATTATTATTATACATTCAAATAAAAAAAAGAGTTCAGTGCTCTTAAATCTTCCAGTAATGTCTTTATAAAATAAACAAATATTTAAGCTGAAGCATAAATAAANAAAAAAAGAGTTCAGTGCTCTTAAATCTTCCAGTAATGTCTTTATAAAATAAACAAATATTTAAGCTGAAGCATAAATAAAACAACAACTACTGTACACAGTAGGATTCAACAGCTTTATTCAACTTAACCACATACTTTCAAATGAAAAAAAGTGCCAGGGAAAAATAAATCCGCGAACCCACGCGTGTATCGGCCGATGCCGATACAAGTAAAAAACTCAAATATCGGCCCGATATATCAGCCGGCCGATGTATCGGGTCTATCCTTACTCTCTATATTTTATTATTATTTTACGTCTGACTTTTCTTCAGATATTATAAATAATATTAACATCAAAGGCCTTTGAACTGTATTTTATATATCAAAGATGGCTTATAGATCATTTAAAGAAGTTACCGTGACAACACTTGTGTGTATGTTTGTTGGCTGTGTGTGTGTGTGTGTGTGTGTGAGAGTATTTATAAGAGAAAAAAGAGCAGCTGTTGGTTTGTCGTTCATCACACCAATCAACACGTTTCCTGCCCTGCGTGTCTCTGCTGTTGTCTGTGAGTTAATGGTTTTACTAGTTCAGACTCAGAAGTGAAGAAGAAGAAGAAGAGAAGAAGAGGAGCGAGGGGGAAAGGGATAAAAATAGGACACACACACACACACACACACACTTGGAGCTGGGGTCTACATTTTACATTGAATTTATTCAGTTCAGTTCCAACGTTCATGAATCAACCTGATCGCAGTAAAACCAACTGGTTTATCAGTGAACTGATCCCAGTTACAGCAAACTGGTTTAAGTGTCAAGTAAAACTAGTTTCATGTGCAGCAAACTGGTTTATCTGTACGTAGAATCATCTGCTATAAACTAGTTTACATGTGCATGTGTAAATTTGTGTACATGCAAACTGGTCTAAATGTGGAGTAAACTGGTTGACTTGTAGTGTTCACTGTTTTCGGAGGGTTGTTGTATAAGTGTGCAGTGAACTGAGTAACCTGCAGCATAAACTGGTGGTTTACATTTAAATAAATTGGTACAACAAAACAGGAATAAACTGGTTTATCTTCAGTAAACTGGTGAATTTGTTGAGTTAAGTGGTTTATGTTTAAAGTAGTTTAAATGTGCAGTGAATGGATTTGCATTTGAATAAATTGGTAAATATATTGGGAGTAAACTGGTTTATATGTGCAGTAAATTGGTTAATCTTTAGAGGAAACTGGATTATGTGTGAACTGGTCTAAATGTGCATTGAACTGGTTAATCTGTAAACTGGTTTACATGTGCATGAATCAGAATAAACATGCAAAAGACCAGTTTAGATCAGCAGGGAACTGATTTACATGTTCAGTTATCTGGTCTGACTGTAACATAAACTTGTTGCATATAAACTGGTCGTGGTGTCCAGTAAACTGGTTTCTGTAAACTGGTCGAGGCGTGCAGTAAACTGTTAAACTGGTTTACATGTAAACTTGCAGATGTGCCTTAAATGTGAAGTAACTGGTTTACATCTGCAGAAAACTGGTTCATCTGTAAACTGGTTTTAGAGTAAAGCAATTTGAATGTTGAGTAAATTAATTTACATTTAAATAGATTAATGAATATATTGGAAGTATACTGGTTTATATGTGCAGTTAAGTGTTTAATCTTTAGAGGAAAGTGGTTAATCTGTAAACTGGTCCAAATGGGCATGAATTTGTATAAACATGCAAAACACCTTAAGGACTTTAGATCAACAGGTTTACATGTTGAGTTTTATGGTTTGTCTGTTGAACAAAATGGGCACTAAACTGGTTTCTGTACACTGGTTGAGGTGTGGATTAAACTGGTAAATACACTGATTTACATGTAAACTTACACCCGTGCAGTAAACTGGTTTAAATATGAAGTACATTGGTTTACATTTGCAGCAGAGTGGTTGAAGCAAAGTTTAGTCACTAATGTTTTAATGTCAGATGTTTCACAGATGAAAGAGTCAGAGAACAGTTTGTACTTCACTCTTGGAGCTCTGTATTCAGAAACAGGTCAGCTGGTCTGTAGTTTGACCTCCTCCTGTTTTATCTCCTCCTCTTCTTCGCCCAAACTTCAGTATCTCTAAACTTCCCTCCTCCTCTGACTTTTAGTGGGGCGTCGAGCTCATTTCCCCCCTGCCAGATCCCTTCGATACGAGCTTCATTTCCATAATGACGGCTGGCTGTCTGCGTCTCTGAGCTTCAGTCATTATGTGATTGAGTGCGATTATTAACCAGCTTTCCCCCTGATGGATGCTGTGTTTCCATTCGCTAATGAGAGAGGGATCAGAGACCGGCTCACTCTTTCCATCTCTCTGTCTCTGTCTCTCTGCCGTCATGTGTCCCAGGTGAGCTCGTCTTTATGGGCATCCCTGTTGGTTTGTCTACCTGGATTGCACTCGGCAGGTTGCGAGCATGGAGCGGAGCACCTGTTTCAGGTGCAGGAACACCCTGTGACTCTCTTATGGGATTAACAGAATAAGAAACAACCTGAGTGCATCTCCTGTGTCCATGTTGGAGAAGACATTTTGTTCTTTTGGTTGACGTAACAAGGGTTAACATAGGGTATAGGGTTAACATTTTAAATCAACAGGAGATAGATTTTAAACTTTTAGGCACTTCTCTCCACTGGTTGGTGGACCTGAGAAGTGACAATGCTGGTCTTTCATCTCAGGCATTTTAAAAATTGGTTGTTCATATAACGTTTGTACTTATATTTGTTGTTTTTTCCTCTTTTATTTTGGTATTTATGTGTATTATACCAGTGTTTGGGAAGGACAAGTCTTTCATTTATTATCAAAATATATTAAATGTTTCAGTCTGAATTCATTTACTTCAGATTTTGATTTACTTGCAAAAAGTTTTTCTATAATTCTAGAGGTTTTTCAGCATTTATAAATGTCCCTGAATCCAAATAACCAAACAGTTAATGATCCCTCCCTGCCGACAGAGAGCAGAGTTAGATCCAGACAGCTTATCTCACCTTACCTTACTGCCACTGTGCAATAATTATGTAAACCTGGCGTTTTTTTTGTCAGTTTAGGTGAGATGTGTTGGCTGCTTTGAAAAATATATGTGTGTTCCACTTTGCTTGCCGTTGTCCTGTCATATCAGCATTAGTATGATCTCATTATACACTGTGACTTTCCTTCAGTTGCCTTCCCACATCCCTTTGGTCATACGTGTACAGTATGTGCACAGATTTGTTCACTTTTATTTACCTTCAACTCGTAGAAGTTGTTTTTTTAATTACGACTTTTTCATGACAGAAAATACGTTCTGGAGGAAACTTAATGTGCACAGATACATTTTATCAATCAAAATAATGAGACGTTTTAATTAACTGACAAGTTGCAAACATGACACTGAACACATCACTGAAAACATTTGGTTTCTGACAAAATCTCTGATCTTACAGCACAATTCGTGCAGGTAGTGACTGCAGCATGATTAAACTTTTTTATGTTTCAGTTTAGACTCACAGCTCCTGTTAAAGGTCAAACAAAGATGTTGGACCTGGTTAAATATTGGAACAGTTGACATTGACTCATAGCATGAGACATGTGTTGACCTAATCAACATTAAAACAAAAACTACAGTCTTTTACTAAACTAAAATCCCTCTGTTGCCTCAGCTTAAAGGAACACTTGATCCCTAAAATGATTATTTGTATATCAACTACTGAATTTGTGAAGAAAATTTTGTTTTTCTCGCATTCCCTCAAGGTTGAACAAAAAATCTAAAAGTTGAGAGAATAAGTCATGGAGGACTGCGTTTAACAACAACAACAAAACCTTATCAAACTCTCTCTGAACTCTCGTGATCCACTTGTTTGCTCAGTACTAACACATTCATGTTTATTAAAACCTTACTAAATAAAACACTTTCACGTAAACAGTCTCACACACAGAGGAGTAACGCGCCTGGGCAAGAGAGTGCATTTGAACTCTCCTCAATGGAAGATAAATGAGACCTGGATTATACTGCATAAGCTGTGTCAGAGTTTGTAAACA